GGTCGGCGTTCACCAAAAAAACACCAAATGAACGGCCGGTCACGTTCACGGGTCCGGCACTGGCGGGTGCTAGCGGGGCCCGGGTTGCGGTCCGTGGCTATTCCTCTATTGACAAAGTGGTATCGTTGTTCAGCTGGAACCGATTCCCACCAAAAGCCAGAAAGGGGGAAGAAAAGCAAAAAAAAAAAACGAGAGGGCCGGCTACCCGTACCTGCTCCCAGGGCAGGCCACGGGATAAAGGGAGGTACCACTAGGCTCTAGCCCAGGCCACCTCCCATTCTTGCCAATTATTGAACCGGCAGGCCGCAGGCCGTAGAACGGATGATTTACTGTTTCCAACTCGTCTTGGCCCACTCTTGCAGTGGACTGTTATTTCTGCGAATTCTGAACTGTGAAGCGGTCACATGCACAGTGTCTCGCTAGGGTTCCACCGTCTTCGTGGCCATGACCCAGGACAATTATGTCCATCGGGTTCTGCTGGGTGCCGCGTCCACACAAAAGAGTTTAGAGACGTGCCACAGAAAAAAAAGATCAGGTGTTTTGCCTACGAGCTGTCCATCGGGTCCAGGCGGAGAACAAATGGAAACCTTTAAGGAAAAGAATGAGGGCCTCGGCACGCCACTCTTGAAATGGGGAAATTTTTCAAGAGCTGTCAGACGTTCTGAAGAGTTGGGTTTTCAAGAGTTTCGGGCCCCTCGCCACAGCACTCTCGAAAGGGCCATGGTGTTGGACATATGATGAAGACAGACAGTCCTACTGCTTTGTTTTTTCCCAATGGAGTCAGGATAATGGCCTGACACATCTCAAAAATCAAGGGCCCTTCGAGAGCCGTAGGGAGGACAGGTGCTGCAGGCTGGGCATTTCGGAGTTTCGAGTGCTACTCTTGAAAAGAGGTTCTGACAACTCTCGAAAGAGTTTTCTGACAACTCTCGAAAGAGTTTTCGGGCTCCAAGCGTCTCGCTCCACTACTGTCCACTGTACAATTTTTCGGACAGTTGGTGGACAGTTGTCAGAGCGAAATATTGTACAGCGGACAGTGGAAAATGCGAAGTACGACTGTCCGTTTTTGTACAGTGGACCGTAGTGGAGCGAGACCCCAACTCTCAAGTGGCTGTGTGGCGACGAGTCCAACTCTTGAAAAAGCGGTTCCAAGAGTGGTGTGGAGAGGCCCTGAATGAGCTACAGTACTTCTTGGCTAACGTGGCAGTGTCTTCTTGGCCATGACAGGACAGTTGTGTCCATCACGGACTTCACTTTTATTTGCGGGGTGCACCCCCCTTCCAAACAAAATAGGTCAGCAACGTACTTGTACTTCTGTGCGGGCGGTCACTGACACTGACAAAATAAGTGAACATGGTCATGCAGCAAGTGGCAGTGTGGCACCCAAGTCCTATGGGAAAAGTCATAAAACCTCCCCGTGAAGAAAACTGTGTATCCATTTCCCCCCAAACGAGAAAAAAACTGCCGCAGGTCCGAAAATCACTTTCCGCGTCATTTTTGCACCCTGGGGCTAGGTCCCACTTGCACGAATTAAGGGATACTGACCGTAGATAACAGAGATCAACGGCCAGGTTCTCGTAATCCGTGCAAGTGGGACCTTGCCCTAGCTGGGCCGGTAACGGCCGCTGTGTAAAAATGGCGGGAAAGTGTCCTGCAGGGTGCAAAAATGACGCCGAAAGTGATTTTTGGACGTGCGGGCACTTTTTCCCGTTTGGGGGGAAATGGATACAAATGTTTCGCGGCGGGGAGATTTTATGACTTTTCCTGAAATTTTGATCTGTGCTCAGTCTACAGTTCGGATCTGCCACGCAGGAGCCACTCCCAGATGCAGAATCTTCCATTTTTGTTTCTGCCTTTTTTTTTCCTTTCTGTTTTGCAAAATCAAATCTGAGCCGAGATAAGGGAGACATTTTAGGTCTCCAAGACGGTCACTGTTATGCAATTTGAAAGATAAGGTAGTCGTCAATGATCCCCACGAACATTGATGATGACAGTCAATTTGTGCCGATTGCCCATTTCAGTTTTGAGCTGTTTCCATTCCAACGTCAGCAATCCAACTGTTCCTCGTCACGGTCTCATTACCTGAAGACCCGCCAAATGCACGTACCTTAGCGCCTTTGAGGTTAGGCAGACCTTTACACTACTGTCGTACGGAAGAAACAAAATAACCGACCCTATGTGGGCCAAATGTCGCCCTCTTGTCTCCCGGCCAGTTTCAGAACGTCTGTCGAGCCCGACTGGCGGATGGCTTGTCAATAGTGCACCATAGCAGTGGAGGATGGGAGTCTCATGGCGTACTCACAGTAGTACTATCTTCAATGTATCTGACCACATTTGAGATCCGACCGGGAAATTGCGTCCAGAGATAAGCAACAAGTCCTGTGGTGTGAGTATGCCGTAAAACGGCGGGGGGGGGGAAGGATCAATTTTTTGCGCACTGTAGTGTCATGCTTCGCGCGCCAACCGCTACGGGTCGGAGTCATTGCCGGGCGTGTGGCTGAGTTCCTCTAGCGGTAGTGTACTTGAAGCCACGTCCACGTGGGAGCATCGGCTCCGGACTGAGGTCTCCCCCTGTGGCAGCTATGCTTTTTGTCTCGAGAGCGTGAACCGAGCCGTAAGAGCGGTAAGGTTCTTAGTTTCGGCAGTGCCGCCACTGCCGACGTTCCAAAATTCAAACTTCGCTGGGCTGGATTCAAATCTCTCGGCAGGAAAGGGTTTTCTACTCCTGTCGTCACGAGACGTGGATCTTCCACCACGCTCAAGCGGCTCAAGGGTTCCGAGCCCCACTTTCCCCGGCTGCGTGGGCAATGTTTGGCTTTGGCGAGTCGCCTAGGATATGCTTCTTTCTCGTTTTGTGACTTCTTTTTTGGAACAAGGTGATGATGATTCTCAAGCCAAGCACTGCTGAAAAATACTGTTCCATGTGAGCTTTCATTTTCTTTCTTCTTTTGAACCCACTGCAGAGAGAGATGTGTTGCTTCAGATCTGAGTGTACAAGTAGTGCTCAATTAAAAATAGAAAGAAAACTTGCTCCCCCTGGCATTGCCGGTCTGAAACAAGTAAAAAACGCGTCGAGTTAGGTCGTGCTAATTTATCCCCAGGAACGTAACAGCATTTGGCCCGAAAGAGACGAGCCTGTTGTGACTCACTCAGGGCCACGCTGTGCAAGCGCATGACTGCTGGATAGAGGCGGACCTCAAAGTTACCTCAAACTTAAGTGACTGCTACGAACGAATGACATTGTATAAAAGCGAACGGAACTGCCTAGGTTGGGCATACACTAGACAAGCGTACTTCGATCACGCACACACTCCCAATCTGTGCTCTCGTTGCTTGCACACGAATAGCGGAGACGTTGAGGAGTGGGGCTTTCAACGGAGGAGCTGCCAGGTGCGCCTCATGCCTGTCTTTGTGTCTTCCTAGGACCGAGTTTCTCTCAAATTCTCTGTGCACCGTGAAGCTTGTCGAGGGGGAGTGGAGGCAGAGGTCGAGGGCAATGGCGCGTCAGGTGGTTCTTGCGGCCGTTCTTTTGCTGATCGCTGCTGCAGTTCTGGCGAGCGCGCAGACTCCGACTGAGGTGACCATCGGTTGGGTCACCTACGCAGGCAACGGCTGCAATTACGACAACACCAACTGGGTGCTGTCGAACGACTACAAGACTGTCACCTTCATGTTCGGCGGGATGGTTGCGACCACGGACGGGTCGCTCGCCGACAAGAGGAAGTCTTGCCAGATGTCGTTCTCTATGAACTACCCCGATGGCTGGAGCGTCTCCATTGGTCAGGCCACGGGCCGCGGGTTCGCTGACATCGCCGAGAACTCCGACGGCATCTACGAGACGCACTACTACTTCTCCGGACAAACGGGGACGGCCATGGTGGAGCGCAAAATCAAAGGCCCAAAGGTTGGCAGCTTCGAGTTCACGGACGACTTCCTGACGCTTGTCTGGAGCGACTGCAACAACGCGCCCAACCTGAACATCAAGACGGTGGTGAGAGTGGAGGGCCAGAAGGCTGTCATGGCGCTCGACTCCCAGGATACCAAGTTCCAGCTCATCTTCAATCTCCAATGGAGGCAGTGTCCGCAAAATTGAGACCCCCGTTCACCATCTCGAACTGAGGGTGGCGGCCCTGGCCGGTGAGCGGGAGGAGACAAAGAGCGGAGGGGTGGGAGAGGAGGGTAGCCGACTCGTCAGGGCTCACCTTGGCGGAATCTGAGGGAAAGAGGCTACGGTCGATGCAGTGGCACTTTTGAGAAGATCGTGCCTACCGTTCCTCGGCACTCGTGTGAAGGGAGAGCATGGAGATGGCCTTGCGGTCCTAGCAGTAGTTGCAAACGACGAAAGAAAGTGTGGGCGGTTGTCTTCCAGGTAAACAAAAGGTAGATACCAGATGGGACGCCTTTCTTGTCCCATCACCAGATGCAGTCTCGCTGCATGTGCTTTAGTAGCTCGTTATCATATACCTCCGCGGAAGTTCGTGCTGTGTCCCCTCCCTGCCTGATACGCACTGCACTATTTGTAGAGTCGCAAACGGTAGTTTCATCGAGTCCGTGGCCAGCGCGATTACTCCTGACCCTCTCTCTCTCTCTCTCTCTCTCTCTCTCTCTCTCTCTCTCTCTCTCTCTTTTTCGGTCTCTTTCACTCTTTCTTTGTCGATAATCTAGTTTTCTTCTCTCTTCCTCGCGAGACGCCGGACCAATTAGGATCTTTGTCTTCCATTCGGCGTCGTCTATCTTTCTTTCTCTTCCCCTCTCCCGGCATTGTTATCCCCTTTGAGAAAAAAACAATCACGAAAGCTTGCACAATGCACAGGCAGAACGGGGGGGGCGAGGAGGGGGGGAACACCTGACTTCAAACCATTCTAAAAAGCTGGCGGGCCCCTCGTCAGGAGGTATCAAACGAACAGAGTGGACAGGGGCGGCAGTGCCCTGTTGTTTTGGAAGGGATAGTTTCCTCTGGAATCTTGTAAGAAGAAAAGTTTTGGAGACTAAAATTTAATCTGTCTGTGGGATTTACCACAGTCACGCGAAATCCATCTGTCCTATGGAGTGAACTGTCCGTGGCGCACCCTGACAACACGACTTGACAGTTAATCCGTCCTGTATAATGGCTCATCCTGGTTTGTTTTACGGGCTGGCGATGATGGCGATCATATCACGCCTTCCATCTGATTAATGGTATCTTATAAAAGATCATGAAGAATTCTTAATGGCAGGCTTACCGTCTGTTCCCTTTGTCAACGAGTATGCTCAATGACATACTGAATGAATGTGTCACACTAATTTGAGTCTTGGTGTGTTGTACATTTCTATAAGAAGCATCATCCCGACTGATACATGGCATTCTCTCTTTTTTTTATTTTGGATGCAAGGCCGCTGGTGCTATCTGGCTTTTAATGTGCTGTTGCGGTTTGGATTGCTGTCATTTGGCTCTCGCCCTTTGTCCTTGCAAGGTGCTCTCTGTTGATAAAGAAAATCACACGATATCACTGCTACCATCTTCCCCCGAATAGAACGCACTGTAACTACAGCTGTGTTTGGGACAACTTTTAGTCTGTAATTACAGCTGTCTGATAATGGCGGTGCGTTCTGCTCGGGTGAAGACGGGAGCATCTTCCCCAGTACACAAGCGCACCGTCATCATGAAAGTACAGATCCGACCGGAAACATAGCCTATATTCATTCATGATCATGATCAGGCGGGGGGAGAAGGAACATGGCCGTAGCCAAAATCGTGCAATTTCGTCTGATTTTCCCCCCTCCCTTTTATTCACGTGTTTTTTCTTATAAAGGTGACGGCCTTGAGATATCATCATTGAACTGAACGGGCCCAGTATTTATTTAGATCAAACAATTGTTTTTTCCCTTCCTCTGACTGCATCTGGTTTCGAAATAGGTTCTGCATTTCAGCAATTCACATGAGCTAGGCCCGTTGGTAATCGTGCAATTATCGAGCAATCATTGGTGGTATTTTTTTCCTTTTTCTATTAGGGGTGTCTAATTCTGTCAAAACAAAAAAAAGAATCTGACGTGTCCATTCTGCGTGTGGACAACACACGGCCACGTGGACATCTGAACTGTGGTGACGTGGACAGCTGTGCTGTGACTGCATGTGGGACATGTGAGCTCCGACCACGTGGACATATACTGTGGCAGCTTAGCCGTCTGATGAGACTACCACGTGGACATACAATGGGGCCAGGTGGAGATCTGTTGTGGCGGCCCCCAGACTACCATGTGGACATACAGTGGGGCCACGTGAAGGGCCCTGGACCAAGCACTCGGGTCACGGTCACCATGCCAACACGTTGGACTAGTACACGCATGCTTTGCCGCGAGTCCTTGGTTCTGCTGCTTGCGCAATAGAGGTCATGCAGGGCATGCCAGCCCTTTGACAGATGCTTACCAGACTGTCTTTTAATATTTCTGGCGGGGACTCGGTGTTGACTCTGGCTGTGATCGTCGTCCTGTCTGCGACGTTAAATAATTCCTGAGGAGTTACGGGGGATCTCCTTAAATGCCTCCTGATCAGCCAGATCAAACCGGGTGTAAGGCTCGTTGCATGCGAGGGTAAATAATGTGCAGGGGCTGGCAGGTTCGGCGTTGACTTGGGGCACACGGGTGGGCCGGATTGCACACCTTCAGACATGCTGCTCAACCAGATGCTCAGGACGTTGACACAAAGCAACCACTCAAGAAGGACACAGGGGGAGGGGTGATTCCGGAACAGGTCACAGTGCCAATTAATAGACAATCTACCATTCAGCATACATCTCCAACAGGAGATGTTATTTTTATTTTTGATTATCTAGTTGTTACAGACTTGACGAACAACTGACAGACAGCTGCAGACAGATTAGTTCTTTGCTTGAGGGTAGCTGAGGATAGTGCCAGGTTTAGGATTTCAGTTAGCACCGGTACAACCATGGCCACTTCCTCTACCATGTCGCAGACTTCTTCACAGGCCACTTCGTCAGGAGTTAGTCAGAGTGGTTCTCAGAGGTCCATTAGCCAGAGTGCTGGCTTGCGAGTCAGCCAACAGACTCAACTCACGCGGGAGGATTATGAAATCCTCCAAGCAGAAGAACTTCAGGATGAACTAGAGTGGCAATTGGATGAGGCAGAAGAGAGGAGAAGGAGAGCAATCTTGAGGAAAGCTAGACTAGGTAGTAGAAGAGAGGAGCTAGGTAGACTAGAAGCATTAGATGAGTCAACGCTTGACCCTGCGATCCGAGCGTTGCGTAACTCGCTTCTTTGTGTGGCGGAAGCGCAGGCTGTCCAACAGGAAGTGCTGGCTGAACTAATGGAAGACCTGAAAGAGATTTTGGCTGCACTACGGGCTCCTCGTCCCATGATGAGGCAGCCTCAGTATGCTGTAGTTCCTCCTTCAGGTGTAGGTCCATCAGTGATGCTGCCATCGGTAGAGCCTGAATTCTCACCTATGTTTGGCATGCCCCCTCCAGGTGGTTTGGTAGCAACTAGTGGTCCGGTTCATAGAGTCTCAGTCGTACCATCCATGACAGTGGTCACTACAATCCCACTATCAAGTCAGGCCCAGGTTAGTGTGCAACAACCTGTTTCGGTGCCCATGCAACCACTGCAGCAGGCCCCTGGGCCCATGCAGCCTATGCAGTGGATGCCCAAAATACCCTTGCTGAGTCCTAAGCCCTTCTCCGATGACAGAAAGAAGGACGAGGATTTGGACACCTGGGTAAGGGTGGTGCCTACCTATGTAGGGCACAAACTTACCAAGCCAGAGCAAGAACTTGTAGTGGCTGCCTCCTTTTTAGAGGGGTCAGCAGCCCGTTGGTTGAATGACCTAGTGCAGTAGCAGGGCTACGGTCAGAATTTCGATGCCTGGGCACTGGCCCTGACATTGGAACAGTTCGTACAATCCGTGTACAACAGGTGGCATGACCCGCAAGGGGCTAAAAAAGTCACCGACACTATCAACAGTCTTTGTGTCAGACGGTACAAGAATGTTAGAGAGCTAACGGACACTGTAGAACGTCTGCTCGTGGTACCTGGTGTGCGCTATGACCAGCAGGTACTCCTTACGGATTACCTTAGATGTCTGTCTTCAAAGGTAAGGACAAAGCTGGTAGATAAGGCTTATGTCGATCAGCACAACTTCGCCTCTTTCAGCAAGAAAACCTTGGACATCGAGGCAAAATTGGGATATGCGCATCAGAGTCAGGGAGATGGTAAGAAAAATAGGCTACCCCAGGACTGGAAGAAGAAAGGTCAACTAATGTTTGTTGAACACGATGGTCAAGCAACAGAAATTGACGACTTCCCAGACCTTGGGGAGGATACAGAGCATGATGGGGTCAGTGAGACTTCGGATGGGAAAGTCGTGACACCTATCAAGGAAAAGGTAGGGGGACCAGGAAGAAGAAGGTAGTACGGTCCACGGGTCAGGGCGACCAAGGAACGCCCGCTTGGGTAAAACTTGGTTTAGAGTACGAGGTTTGGAGGGACCGAGTTGCCAGGGGCACGTGTATGAACTGTGGCAATTTTGACCACATGTCTAGAACGTGTCGAGGCAAGAAGGTCACCACGAGGGTAGCCTTACCAACGGTGGTGGAACTTTCTTTGAACTCTGACAGCGCTTCTGCGAGCACTTCGCAAGGAAACACCTCGGGCCAGTATGAGTTTTAGTCGCTCTTACTCGCGCTGAAGTGGTAACATTGTCTTCCCCACTTCAGGCGTTGGCCAAGGCTAGTGACCCACGTATCGCCCCGCAGACACATTCAGACCCATCGACGCTCTGTTCGAGAGATGTGTCTGAGGCCATAGAAGAGTTCGAGACTGAGTGGTCAGGGAAGGACCCCAGGGACTCTTGGGCAATGATTAGTACAGTTCCAAAGGGTGAACACTTCGTGGTAGAGGTTGATGTTGGTGGCCGCAAGGTTGGCGTCTTCGCAGACATAGGCTCTACACGGAACTTCATCAGTCGTGCTCGTGTGGATAGACTGCGCTTAGGGGACCAAGTGCAGCGGCTTAGCAGAACTGTAGCTTTTACGCTGACCAACACGCACCAAATGTTGGTAAAAGACTATATCAAGGACGTAGTCTGTACCTTCTCCTTTGGAGGAGGGGAAGTGAGTCATAAAATCTCCTTTCTGGTTAGCGACGAACTGCCGTTTGATATGCTCTTAGACATGCACTACCTCGAGGTCGCGCAACCTCAGTTTGACTGGGATAGAAAGGTGTTGATCTACAAATTGCCTAATGGTAGAACTGTTAGATTGCAGAAGTTCAAAGCTAGCAGTCTGATAGAAAACTACGGGTGCACATGTGCATCGTCTTTCTATAACTATTATAAGCAGAATCGCAAGGAGAGCATGTTTCTAGTCTTTGTCTCTGAAAAAGGGGAGGTCGTTAAAACA